CAGTCGTATGATTTAAACTTAATATAAAATAGAATTTAAAAGATACAGTTTTTTTTTTTTTTTTTTTTCAAATTTGTGAATCAGTTTTCTTATTCTTTTTATTTATATATTTTGACATCTATCAAGTACATATATGTATATTAAATTTTATATCCGTGTTACGATTTAAATAGATTAATAATAATGTAGTTTAAAATATAGATTTTAATAAAATTTTAATTAGAAAGTAGTTTTAATGCTTCTCCTAAATCGTTCACATATTTTTACTACTCTATCAAGTATGTAACTGAAACAAAACCACATGTAAATTCATGCAAAATGCGATGCAACAAAATATATTTACATTAATTGACCGCCATGAACTTTTACATAGAACTGCTACTTAACGATGATTACATAAGCCAGAACTCCCGTACCACGTCATAATCAGAAAACTTTTTAAGTTTATTCACTGCATTGTTCCCGTGTGTGACCTTAGAAAGTAAGGAGCCTTTGAACTTATATCTATTGAACGGTACGCGCCGTGCGGTTCCATTTTTTTTTTATGCAATACTCAGTGACCTTTAAAAGGATGTTGGGAATAAGAAACACATATAGGAACCGGCTACAATTCTAGAATCTTCCCCTTAGTCGAAACGTTAATGTTCGATTATCGCACAGAGATGTTGGTCGACAAGGATTCACTTATGCGGCTACATACCAATTACAGTTTCCATTTTCCGACATAGAGCGATGCATTTGGATCGTACACGACGACCCGGAAACAGATCCGAGAAACAAACGAATTCGTCAGGAACTGAGATCCGGGACCACGATAATGATAGTACCAGACACGTCCCAGTGTACCCGGGGACAACGAGACACGGGAAACTGCACACACACCTACGATCGAGCCGCGGTAGACACGGGTCGCGAAAGGGAGGCTGTGAAACTGCGAGATGAAAGCGGAGCGCACCCCCCGGTGCGCGCGCGCAGCATCCCCGGAAGCAGCCCGGCTAGATCGAGGGGTAGCCCTCGGGACCGCTTACTCAGTCGAAGTCGAGATATTCATATCCGTGTTCTTGTTTCCACGACCCTTATTCCAAGTGCTATATACAAAATTTAAGGTTGGAAGGGCTAATATTAAAGATTGAAAGCTAAATAAAATTCTGAAAATTTTTCTTCTTTATACTTTAAAGGTTGCATTTAATCTTCTGTTTTCTTTAGAAACAAAATCTATAGTTTATATTTTTTAATTATTATTACTAATTAAAATAATTAGTACTGATAATATTAGTATTAAATTAATATTAATATTATATTCAAAGTAATGTCATAGAATATGATTGTTTGATTTTTAATTATATAAAGTATTTTACTGTATTTTAAATAAAGTATATTTTTGTAAAAATATATGTACAGATATATGTA